AACGTACCGTCTGGTAAATTATTCTTATCATTTCAATTTCCATTCACGAAACAAGCCGAGTCAGTTCGTCGATTGCTCTCTGGTCATCCAAAGTTGAGTTCCTTTATCTCCAACACTTTGTTGTGTTTACCTGACGTTTTTCGTCAGTATAGTGTTTTCAATTATTTGGACATTAGATTTATTTGGAAGTTTGATCTCGTTCGTGGTCCACGGCGTATGCTCTCGCCCTTATCATTAGTATAGAATGAACACTATTCGTATCACTAACGACTGCTTCTTTAAGGTTACTTTGGTAGGATATAACCTCCGACACGACGGTTCTCCCTTCCGCTGCTGTCTCCGACGGCTCACGATTCTATTTGGATTTGGGCCGATTTTTCAGGTAAGTAACGTAAAACTTATTTGTAATTATTCCTCATTCTTTTTCTTTGTTGTCTTTTATGATTTATCCCTCCATTAAATTGTTCATTTGAGGTTATTTTCAAAACCTGCCATTATTTAGGATCATTTACTTGCGTTGATATTAAATTTGATTAATTATTTATTTACTTGTCTTTCTGCTCCCATTTAAATTCGTTTATGTTATTTCGAGAATTAAATTGAAGTCAAAATTATCATTTTGGCTTTAATTTATTCAATTTAAATTCACTACTTTCTTACTTTCTTATCATCGGTTACTGCTCCGTTCAAATTCGAGCTCTACTTTGATTTTTGCCTCTATCGTATCTTACCCAATTTGAGCTTCCATGTATTTATTTCCTTCCTTCTTTTGTTTTTTTTGCATTTAAAGGAGGCGAGACGCCAAGAAAAGGAGGGAAAATACAGGGGAGGGTTACATCAGAGGGTGGAGGTAACTACAATGCGACGCTCCATGGTCGTACCAATATAATCTTCCCAAAGAGTGGTAGCTAGGCCGGGGGGCGGATCCGCAAGCTCATGTACACCATAGGGATAGACGAGACTGTGCTTCGAGAGCCAGTCCGCGACTCTATTCCCTTCACGGTATACATGAGCTATGTTGACCAACCAATCCCGTCCAAGTTTCCTGCGAATCGCGGCTAAAAGAGTAGCATAGGGGTGGATAGGGTCTTCTCTGTTCTGGATGAGCTGAATAGCCAAGCGCGAGTCGCTCTCCACCTTCAAGCATCTATGTCCCTGTTTCCAAGCCAGCTCCAACCCGTGGTCGAAGGCCCAGAGCTCGGCGCAAGTAGCTGTAGTTGAGCCGAGGTTTGCCACGAAGCCACCAAGCCAAAGGCCCGTCGAGTTCCTGATGACACCACCTGCTCCGGAAGGACCTGGATTGCCGTTTGACGCCCCATCGATGTTCAGGGTGACCCATCCAGAAGGCATCACCGTCGGCGCCAGCCATGACTCGTGCCACAGCTTGCTCTTCGTAATAATAGAGTGCTCAAGGGTCAGCGCTGACAACGCTGCATTCAGTCCTTGAAGAGTAGCTGTGCAGCGATTTTTCCAAAGAAGCCACACTGCCATGCTGAAAAAGTTAGGCCACTCGATTCCCGTACCTGTTTTAGTGTCGTTCGTGAGATTGCCGCGGAACCAACTCACTTGCTCCATGCTAAAAAACGCCTGTTGCTGGTGTTGGGGAACATGCCTGGACCAGAAAAAGGCGGCTGGAGGGCAGTCGCGGAGAGTGTGCAGGATGGTCTCCGGCTGGCTGGTACACCTAGCACAAAAAGGGTTACTCGCAATCCGCCGGTCATACCTGAGAGAATTCGTCACGATCCTCCCGAGAAAGACTAGCCACATGAAGCTTCTAATCCTTTCCGGGACTGCAAGGCGCCAGATGATTTTCCAGATGTTCTCGTCAGGATGCGGCGGCTGTTGGTTGAGGAGATTATACGCCGATCTCGTGGTGAATCTTCCATCCGAACTCGCCGTCCAGAAAATCTGGTCTTCCTGCAGCGAGAGAGGGTCGACAGCAATGCCCAAGATCTTCTGGTGAATGTCCGCCGGCAGAAGGTTAAAGAAGAGCTCCGTCCTCCAGCTTCCATCCTCCCGCACCATGTCAGCAACCCGCGCCTCCTTGAGCTCGCTAGGAATGTCACTGATGGCCTTCTCCTGAAGCGGAACCTGCAAAACCCAAGGATCACACCAGAACTTAGTGCGCCTACCGTTCTTAATATTCCAAGCACACCCTTTCTGTAAAAGATTGGCTGCTTTAGCAAAGCTGGCCCAGGTGAAGGAACTTCCCTGAATAGGTTTGATGACATTCAGGCCTTGTCTTTGTTTGGCGTATTTCTCCCTCATCACTTCAACCCAGAGGCAATCTTTTTCCTGAAGAATGCGCCATCCGCCCTTAGCCAACATAGCAAGGTTCGTATCCCTCGTTTGACGGAGCCCCACCCCTCCATTAGCTTTAGGTGTGGTCATCTTCTCCCAAGCGACGAGGTGCATCCTGTTCCTGTCCGTCTCATCCCCCCAGATGAAGTCCCTGCTGATCTTGTCGATACTCCTGCAGACATTAGTGGGAAGGAGTTCGGTCTGCATACTGTAAACTGGCAGAGAGGCTGCAACAGATTTGGCCACAGTAAGTCTGGCTGCGAAAGAGAGTCGTTTAGCCTTCCAAGGCGCCATCTTCTTCTGGATGCGGAGGAGAAGTGGTTAGCTTTGAGGGGGATCCCTGCTTGTTGGCTCAGTCTCTCCGCTCTCCTCCTGGAAATATTTGGGGAGACATACATGATGGACTTGCTGAAGTTGACCTTTTCGCCCGAGCTAAAACAGAAATCCTCCAGGCATTGTTGGATAACTTGGATTTGGCGAGTCTCTGCTTCCGCAAACAGAAGAAGATCATCTGCAAAAAATAAATGGGTGAGGGGAGGACCATTCACGGTAAGCTTAACCGGTTTCCAAAGACCACTATCCACAGCCTCATCAATTTTATGCGACAGACGTTCCATACAAAGCACAAAAAGATAAGGGGAAAGAGGGTCTCCCTGACGGACTCCGCGAGACGGAGAGAAGGCCTGTGAGAGTTCTCCATTCCACAGAATCCGCATCTTGTTTTGCTCCACACAGGTCATGATGCAGTTGATCCAGGAGCTAGGCAGTCCAACCTCCTTCAGAGTATCCCTCAGGAAATCCCAGCGAAGCCGATCGTAGGCTTTCTCCAGGTCAATCTTGAAAATCAAACCTCCTTTCTTTCCTTTCCTCTTCCTGAAAGAGTGCAGAACCTCCTGAACCACGATAATATTGTCGGCAGTCTGTCTACCAGGGATGAAGCTGCTCTGTCTAGGCGAGACAAGGCTTCTCATGAGGGGCTTTAGTCTGCTGGTCATCGCCTTCGTGATAGCCTTGAGACTGACATTATTAAGAGATATAGGTCGGAGCTGAGTCACTCTCTCCGGGTTCTCAACTTTGGGGATGAGGACCAGGGTGGACTCAGTAATGGACTCCGGGAGCACACCGGAGTTGAAAAAGGATATCGCCATGTCCGAGAGGTTCTTGCCCACAGTCCTCCACATCTGCTGGTAGAAGGCAGCGTGAAACCCGTCAGGTCCGGGGGCCTGAAAGGGTTTCATCTCGAAGACCGCTTTGTGGATGTCCGAGATGGTAAAAGGTCTCAGCAGCTGCATCAACTCGGCCTGGTTCAGCCTCGGGAAAGAATTCCTGGGGAGCCTATCCTCATACGCCGACGAATCCTGCACATAGAGGTTAGTAACAAAGAGGAAAACCAAGAGAGTAAGGGACTGCGGGTCGTTCACCCAGTGATCATTCTCATCCCGTAAAGCTTCAATCTTGTTGCGTCTCCTCCTGATGTTGGCCTGCTGGTGGAAGTAAGCCGTATTGCGCTCACCGAACTTCACCCACTGATCTCTGGAGCTCTGAAACCATAAGATCTCCTCCTGCTCAAGCACCTTGTCCAACTCCACCACGAGCTTAGAATGAAGTTTTGCAAGCCCTGGGTCAAAAAGGATTGCCAGCCTAGTCTCGATCCCTTTTAGACGAGCAAGAAGGCGATTCTTCTTTTTCTTGATGTTCCCAAAGACGTTATTGTTCCAATCCCTGAGATTCCCTACAAGACTAGAAAGAGCATTATGAAGCGGGGCATTGGTATCCCAAGCCGAAGCAACGAAATCCTGGAGGTTGGAATGAGTTAACCATGCCGCCTCGAATCTGAAAGGCCTGGTCGGGGCAGAGGCAGCAATCGGGGAGGAGACCGTAGTGAGGAGAGGGCTGTGATCGGAGTACAGCCGAGGCAAGTGCATCACCGAGGTGTCTGAAAAGGCTTCATTCCACCTAGGGTTGCAAAGACTCCTGTCGATCCTACTCGCCCTGTAAGTTTGAGGCTGGTCACCCCTAGTCCATGTAAAGCAAGGCCCCGAGAACCCCAGGTCGATTAGTTCAGCTCTGTTAATCCTGTCGTTGAAAATACGGCATCTCCTCAGAGTACTAGCAGTCGGAGTCCCAGACTTCTCTTCAGGCGCGCGGATTGCGTTGAAATCGCCCGTGAGAAGCCAAGGGATGTCAAACTGGGAACTCTGTCTGAGAAGGCTGTTCCACAATGCCTTCTGAGTGCTGGGTTGAGGAGAGGCATAGACAGCTGTCAAGACCCAGGGGCCATGGTTGTTCTGCTCAATCCGCATAGAGATGTGTTGATTGCAAGCTGATATAAGGCGCACTGAGAACTTGTGATCATCCCAGAACACCCAAATACCACCCTTCCTACCATCCGCCTCCACACGCATAGAATTCGGGTAGCCCAACTTGTCGCACGCCACGTTAGCTGCAGTGCCGCTGATCTGCGGCTCGAGAAGAATGACGAAATCCGGGCGGTGGTTCTGGATGGCAAGCTTCAGGGACCTGAAGAATGCCTTGTTCCCTGCACCACCAACATTCCACGCGAAGATTTTAAAATTAGTGATGTTCGACATAATTAAAAACAGGAAAAGGGGAGAAGAGAAAGGGAGCACGAAGAGGAAGGGGGGCTAGAGAAAATAGTCATCAGATGACGGTGTCCGGCTGCTCCAACAGCCCAGTATTCAGCGCGGTATCCTCCCCAACGACCGCCGCTTGCCGCGCTCCTGGTGAGGACGACGTTTGCTTCGCGGCGCTGGTCCAGGCAGCTATCTCTTGCATAGTTAAGGTCGCAGCCCTTGGCCTCGTTTTCACTTTACGACCCTTTTTTGGTGACCAAATTTGGAGGCTTTTCGTGGGGTTCAGCTTCGTGGGGGATCTGCGCTGATCGGCCTTATGTTTCTTGTTCCGCTTAGTTCTGGAGGCAACCGACGGCGATGAGGCGGCCACATCGGCGAGGTTGGTGAGCGGTCCAGACTGAGGCTTCACAATCTGCATAACGGTCCCATTGGGCCCGGTCAGGGTTTGGACTGCGGGCGGAGCAGGGAGGAGGAGGGTCGAAATGAGCTTGCTCATGTCATCAATCTTCTCAGAGGGTTGGGCCGACGTGGATGCGAGGTTAGGGTCCGAGTTGGGCTTCGGCCCATTCTTCACACTCTGTTGCTTTGTTGGCCCAGACCCGAGGAGACCTTTTCCTTGCCCGTTGCTGTGCCCATTTAAATCCTGCGACATCTTCTCCTTTCCTTTCTTTGATTCCTCTCCTCCTTTCCTCCCTGTAACCGCTTTCCTTTCCTGGTTCGGCGACCGTTGTTGGGTGCCAAATGTGGAAGGAGTGGGGTGATCAGAAGAGGAAACTCTTTCTTTGGGAGGAGTTCCGCTCTTTCCCAGAATCGCCTTGTTCCCGCCGGGGTTATGCCCATGATTCCCTTCCAACTTTCCATTTCTGATGCTGGCGGGATCCCTCTGATTCCGGCGATTTTTTCGGGTGACCAGCATCCAGGGCCCAAAGCCCGGATGAGGCTCCTCCGCCATCTGTTCCACCGCACCAGCCTGTGTGTCGCCGCCGACGGTAGCACAGATTGCCGGAGGTGTCACCGGTTTTTTCAAGGAGCAGAGGTCCGGCGAGTGGCCAATTCTTCCGCAGTCGAAGCAAACCTCGGGGAGGTTTTCGTACTCCACTTTCTGCCAAGCGTCGTCTAACCAGATCCGAGGCACCAATTGCTTGGAAAGATCCACTTCAATAGCCAGTCTGGCAAACTTCGCACGATCGAGGTTGAGGGTATGGTAGTCGAGTCTAATGGTTCGACCAATGAGATTTCCGAGCATGGTCAACACTTCTCTGTGGTAAAAATGAACTTTCAGGGCAGGGAGCTGAACCCACAAATCATGGTTTTGGGGAGGGGATCCGAGACCTTGAAATTTGGTGTCCATTGCTGGACGACTAGGTAATGATCAAAGATGACCCATGGTCCATCCGTCAGCGCGCGAAAGTAGTCCTGCTCGTTTCCGAGCTTAACCAAGAAGCAGTCGTGGTCAAGATCCAGGACTTCCAATTGGCCAGTAGGACGCCAGAGGCTTCGAAGGCGCGAATAGAGAGTGGAGAGGCCGATTTTGGTCCCTAGCAGCCGGACCACCAGAGCCCGCTGCCACGGGGCACATATCTTGGTTTTGAAGCTGGAGGACACACTCAGGGCAGGTTCCCCGTTTCTTTCACCTGGGATCAGGTCCTTTTCTCCAACTGGGGTCCACTGATTGAGCAGCAGCTGAGGTTGGGTAGGCGTCTTCCAACCCGAAACAACCCCGGCGTAGGAAAACCGTGGTTGGGGTCCATTCGCTTGTTCGCCGGTGATGGTCGGGGAGTCTTTGCTTGTCTGAGAGGAGGGCAGGCCGGAGGGGTCGTTCTGATCGACAAGCATGTCAGCCGGGGAGCCGTTTGGGGGTGTTGTCAAAAAAGAGGTAGGCAAGATATTCGGTTCGGTAGCAAGACCCTTGTCCGGTGGCTGGTCGGAAGGGAAAGGAGACGGCACCGGAGCTGGGGAGCCAGAGAGAGCGTTCGAGAGCGTCATTTTTTGCAATTCAATTACTTCTCCTTCCTTCTTTTGTTAGGGTTGTACTTTGAATAATTATTCATTAGTCATTACTATATTTTTGACAAGGGAATAATTATTCATTAGTCATCACTATAATGATTACAGGTTATACATTTTCCCATATTTTATATATTTTGTAGCAATGGCATTTTTAATTGTTTTGTGACTAATTATGTTACCTTTTTTTATTTTCTGTAGTAGAATTATATAAATCCTCAATCACCATTGATGTTATGCCTCTTTCTTAGTGGTAGATTTTAATATCTTTAGATATGGATTTCTAGCATTACATAGTGGATTCTTTTGAGTTCACCACGTTGCAAGAGAATCTTATCGTAATTAAGATACATGAAGGACGTACAATCGACCTCATCTGTATATCAAGATGCTTCAAAGAGGAAGTCTTCCCATTCGGAAGCCGACTCTATTATAAAGGAAGGTCTTCTTTCTCTCTTCTCACTCCCCGTGTCAGTTTCGTGTCATTTTGCTCCTTAGAGCAGCTGCCCATCTCGTGACATAACAGACTCTTTCATCGGGAGTCCGATTGTATACGGACTACTGTTCTTTATTATTGTAGTTATATTTTTTTTTTTGTTCGACCATGCCCTGGAGGCTTATCTTGGATTAAAAAAACGCATCCCAATCATTATATTTTTTCTCATAATCCTCCTTTTATCTGGTAAAAAAATATAATTGTAGTGAACATAAACTAATGATTCTGCACTATCAGTATTTAGCCTAATTCTTTTCACATTATGGATGAAACTATGTACTCTAAACTCTTTCAGTACAAGAGGTATTAACATTTCGAGACAATACCCTCACAGCCAAACCATACAATTCTAGAGCTGTTGCACCATGTAAATTACACCATCAATTAGGGGTGGGCAATGGGCGGGTTGGGTGGATTTTGGTTTCAAATTGACCCACCCGCTGACTAGCGGGTTGGTATAATTGTCACCCACTATCCACCCACATTCTTCTACGGGTTGGGTGGGTGGCGGATGGGTGCGATTGGGTTGTGGGTTAACCCGCAAAAGCAATTCTCCACATAGCGGCTAAGAAAGTTTAAGAACATTATAATAAGTTCCTTGTAAATTAGTAAGATTGTAACAATTTAAACACTTCCTACTTTGTCTAATGTGAATCCATGTAGTATTTACATCAAAATTTTCAATACTCTACCAACCAATTGTGTAAATAATTTGAGAAAACGGACGCATTTTACGACTTTGATAAAATTATAAGTTTATAATATGAATCCAATATCTAATGGATATTACACAACACAATAACGAATAATAGTAGTCTAAAAATATTCTTTATTCTCCAATTTTAGTAGTAGATGGCTAGTGTGTAGTGCGGTTAGGAAATATGATGAATATTCGATAGCATAAGAAAAACCATTTTAGCATGTAAAAATATAGTGCGGGTCATTCGAGTGACCCACAATCCACCCACATAACTGCGGGTAAGAGATTTATCAACCCGCAATCCACCCACATCAATCACCCATTACTTGCGGTTCGGATTATTTGCGAGTGAATCGGCAAAAACCCGCGAATTAACCACCCGCGTGCCCACCCCTACCATCAACAACAGGTAGTACTTCTCTATCAAACATTGCTTTCGGACAAGCAAAAATTACCTAAATGATCATTAAATTAGTTTAATCTAAAAATCCACTAACAATCTGTTAACAATCAACAAAAATACCCTAATGCGACGAATTGTGATTTGTGAATCCTATACTAAGAGCAATAAATCCTAAAATTGACGAATCTCATTCCAGCTAAAGTGGTTGTCATGCTGGTGGCACCTGGTTCAACTTGTGCCGGTCATGAAACCGACATGACACTACCGGTATGACCGGTATGATTGGCTTACGCGTTCTAAACAAAATGATATCATTTTAATAAATTTAACTAATAAAAATATTATTTTATTATTTATTTTATGAATTTAATAGTTAAAAATTGATGATATTTGTTTGATTGTAACTAAATTGTCCACAAATATGTTTTATATATGATTAAATATACTGGACATTAATTGTTTTCACATTTTTTTAAACTGGCATGAACCATCACAAACTGATTATACCACCGGTCATACCATTCCGCTTGCCAAACCGACACAACGGCATAAATTCGATTTGACAACTAACAAAAGAAGTTGGACCCAATGGCCGCACACCTCCTCGCTATTAGAAAAAGAAGGTTTGAATTTCCTCGGGAACTCGCTCCCGTATTCAAGCCCAAGCAATTCCTCCTGAGGAAGTACCAATCACCGTCTCTAGAAGACTGCGATCGCCGGCTGAAAAAAGTTCAATGGCGCCCTTCCCAACAGACAGAATGAACCAACACCCTCCTCCACTTCACTATATATATATATGATACCACCGCAAAACCATTCTTCACTCATCATCCCACACGCATAAGACCAAAAACAGAGCTATGGCAAACAACAATGTCAGAATCATCCACTTCTCCGGCGAAGCAATAGAAACCACTGTCACCAGCAGGGCCTCCGTCGTCGACAACTGGGTCCAATCCATTCCTGCAGGCCGGAAACTTATCGTGGGCCTGGACTGTGAGTGGAGGCCCAACACCACCCCTTTGATGAACAACAAGACAGCTCTGCTTCAGCTCTGCGTGGGAACCAAATGCCTCATCCTCCAGCTGTTCTACCTCGACTACATTCCCCAGTCCCTCAAGGATTTCCTCCGTGACCCGAATCACACTTTCGTCGGCGTCGAGGTGGAGCGCGACGTCGCGAAACTCGGTGCTGATTACGGGCTGAGCTGCACTTCTGTGGTTGATGTTCGTGAGGTCACTCTGGCGAAATGGCCGAATATATTCTGGAGGAAACCTGGGCTGAAAGATATTGCTAAGAAAGTTGCTGGGATTAGTATGCCGAAGCCGATGAATGTGTGCAGGAGTGATTGGCAGCAGAGGATTCTTGAGGAGAAGCAGATTGAGTATGCTTGCATTGATGCTTTTGCTTCTTGTAGGACTGGTCATGTTCTGCTTAAGGATCGTTGAACTGTTTGATTTTCTGGCTGTTTGTTTCCTTATGAATCGGTTCTGTGTTTTTCATTAACTGTCGGAACCTTTTCAAGGTTGGAACATCTATCTGTTGTGTTGGCTTCCATCCTCCCAATGTATGCTGCTATGCTATGGTCCTTTCTATTTATTTAATGCAGTCATTATTGGGCAAGAGATTTTTCGTCTTTGGTCGAGTGAGACAGACCGAATTCAACATTTTGGTTTTGTTATGCTTCAAGGATTTGGATGTGGGATTTGGTTCTCAAATCTAACACATGAAGGATTTGTCCAAAAGCCATTGTTTGTTGAGCCAAAATGGAGGGTACCAAATCCGTGGGGTCCATTGATTTGGGCCTCCAAATCCGTGGGCCCCACGGATTTGTAAATCCCACCGCATACCCTGGAATTTGGAGACAAGTTGAAAAACTATCAAATCCATGATAAAAATAGCTCAACAAACAAAAGATTTCCTCAAATCCATAATGCCCAAAATCCCTAATAAATCCCAAGGTTTTTAATTAGCAAATCCTCGTTATAAAATCCTTGAAGCAAACGACCCTATATTTCAATTATTAACAATGCATCGCATTTTAGCAATGATAGTGAATCTAGTCAATAGGTATTTGGTTACACATATTTTTTTTATTGACTGATCAATTCCAAGTTAGGTATTTTGTTTCGAATTGTGGGTAGGAGATAGGTCAGCCGTCAGCCTATTCAAATAACACTTTAAACTATTCACTAAAAATATGAGAAACAAACTTCGATGTTATAAATGAAATTAAGTAATTTGACAAATTATCTTTGTACGTAAGAATCACTTGTACTAACTATAAGAGTTACTAAGACATAGTCGATGAGCGGAGCCTTCTAGAAGTACATATACTAAGAATGAATGAGTACTACTACCCAAGGTTGTAAAATCGGCGGCTGGTCGAACCGGGTTAGACCAGAAGCGGACATGAAAACGACTCTATATATCCAACCATTTTTGTCACTGGCCAATAGCCGATCGGTTAAAGTTGGGCTCTGACCGGATTTACCGGCTCCCGGCTATATATAGACAAAACACCGTGTCGCCGTCACTTTGCTGGACTTGGAGAGAGCAGGTCGGCTGCTCACTAACCCTAGTTGCTTGGAGAGAGCAGCCATAGTAGAGCAGTGAGTCCATCTCGTCGGTCGCTCTCTGCCCCACAGCTCCCTGCACTGGCGACGCTTGAGCTCTCCGCAACGGCGGTGCTTGAGCTCCCCGCCTCTCCCCTCCGTCGCAGGCCAACCTGGACGAGCTCGGAGCTCCACAGCCCCCTTTTTCTCTCCTCGTCGACCTTGCTTCCAGGGAGGTATTCCTTTTAATTTGTTCTTTGATTAATTCTTGTTGCATAGTACCTGTTTGATAATGAATTAATCAATCATAATAATCTATCTTCCTGTATAGTGTATACACGTATACATATTTAGAGATTCTTGTCAAGATTGCTTAATTCTGCTTTGGTTAATTAAGATTCACGTCAAAACCTGCTTCATCCGATTGAACCCCGATTCGACTATTGAATTCCAAACCCCTTGCCAAAACGGCTTGATGACTTAATCCGGTTTGACAACCTTACTACAATTGATTGATTTTTGGGTTCGATTCAGATTTTTATAAGACAACACCCATTGAAAACACTCCTATAATAGGAAAAGGCTTCAGGAGCTCACTGTATAGCGAAGATAAAATCATTGGTGAGTAAGATTAGGACTAGATGGACCAACAGAATTTAACGATCACCAGTGAGATAAGGTAGAAATTGAATCATTTTTGTGGCCTAAATATGTAAAAACGTAAACTTTTTTTTACGTTTTAATGCGTGATTTTGATTGTACTGCTCACTCTCATCAATCAGGCTCCCTAAGACCCTAACCTCTCAATTTTCTTTTTTTTTTTTTTTGCTAGAAGGACTCTATGCATGTTGTCCCTAATAACACTTGTAGTGTGGTTATGATATTTCAATCCATAGGAGACATGATATCTGTAGATTAATAATTTTTTTGTTTGTCAATTTTAAAATGCAACTAGAAGGGAAGCCCGTGTTGCACGGCGGGGCAAGTTCAATGCGAATAAATTAGATCATTAAATCACTAACAACAATTTGCAATTCGATGTACTCAAATGCAACAATTCTTAATCATCCCTCTAAAAGAAAAAATAACAATATCAGGCCATACTTTTGCAGCTGTTACACGTATACCAAACCTTGAGAAAATGAAAATAGAGATATAGTCTAATTCTCGGCTCTTAAGCAACATATAAAAAATAAAAATACAGCTTCATATCCCAACCATTTGCAGCGAATATGATCATATCCCCAATAACTACAACAGATGCAAAAGAGGGAATTATACAGTCAATTATAAGAAGAATATGATTTGATGACAACAAATAGTGAATATAAAGCCAACTTGGAAAGCATTTCACAATTTGGCACCTCACTTATGGCATCAACACTCTACCATTACTAAAGGGCATTATATGCTAACTCCATAATTAATGAGAAGTAAATCAAAACCAACTGTACATGTAATATAACAGCAAACTACCGTCTACCAGTGAGAATAAAGGAAATTAAAATCTAAAATGGAAACTCTCTTGAAAACTCAGACAAAATCGTAGAGGCTGCAAGTACTTACCCGTACGTTGTGGTAATCCTCCGCCGTGTTGTCTGTCACTGGCTCACAGTCCAGAAGCAATAAACTTTGAGTTAGCAGTGAGCAAGAGCGTAGAGCGGCAACAGATGTAGAAATTGAAAATAAAGTAGTAGTTAAGGTACATAGATTTGCCAACGAAAAAACTAACACACACTAATGGTTGAGAGTGCAGGGAAAGGAAAAAGAAAGATTCAATAGCTAGCAACTGAGTGAAAAAAGGTAACAAAGCAAGAATACCCAAGCACCAATATCAATCAGGAAACCGAAAAAATTCCTCTTAGGTTTCTCCTGCTTAAGATAATCGACCAGCACTTATCATAAACAAAATCCAAAAAAGTGCTCTTCATTTGCCACACTAAAATAATATGATGTAATGAGAAGGAAACAAATGCAAGTTTTTAGATCGTTCAATCTAGAGCAACGCATCAACATCCAATTGCAGAGTTAAAAAAAGAAAAAAATTAATATTTCAGCAGAGTTCATCTAAAGGAACCTGTTATTGAAGTGGCAGACGACAACTCCATTTGAGCATTCCTTAAGTGCTAGTGTTCTCCGGTGAGAAAACTTGCGTTGAATTGATATTGATTGCACCTTGACTTCTTTGGACAACGATTACTAAGACACGGCTCACACCTCTTCAAACACAGTTCGAACGAGGGTGATCGATGTTTACACGACTCTCGAGACAGATCTACATTAAGTTACTCCTACTCCTATGGAGGTTCAGTGAGAGCTCCAGATCTACGACTACGGCTAAAATTGCAGAGGAAAGGATAAAGGGATAAAATTTGACATAGTGTTGTCTGGTGTGAATTTGGCGACCCTTCTCTGACAACTCTTCCTCCTATTTATAGGCTTGAGGTGATAACCGTCGTAGAAAACTGTCTGGAGAGTAACTTGCAAAAAGAACCGCTTCCCTTCTTTCCCGGACGTGGCTGACGTGTCCTTGAACGTGGAGTAATTGACAGTTTCTCAATCAAACCGTCGGCTCTCCCTTTTGGAACTGACGTCTTGTTACTTGCCCTTTCCTTTACCATTGCTATTCCAGATCTCGCGACAAGGCGGTTTGTCAAACATGATGACAATGCTACGAGGTGGTTTACCAAACTTGGCGCGATGAGGCTTGTCGCGACGAGGCGGTCTACCAAACTCTACGCGAGGAGGCTTGGCGCTTAGACTTAGTAGAGGCTTGGCGGACTTGCGATCAGGTGGCCTGGCGGACTCGCGAAGTGGCCTGACACGAGGAGTCTTGGCGCTTGAACTTAGTTTATTTTGTGTCCTTCTCCCCACATATCTTGTAGACTTGCGATGTGGTTTAGACAAGGCGGTTTGTCACGACAAGGCGATCTACCAACTTGACGCGAGGAGGCTTTACGCGAGGAGGCTTGTCGCGATGAGGCACCAGACTTAGTTTATTCTCATGCGTCATGTCAGGCCTAATCATTTGGGTTTAAAAATCTAGTATCGTAGGCCCAGTTTAAATAACATTAATTGTTATTGTTGATCTGGCCTTATAAAGACAGTTAATGTCTTGTAAATAATCAATGTGGTACACGATTATTTTTGTATTGTAAACAAATGCCCCCCAACTACTTAGTGCATAAGAATTATGGACTAAGTAGTTGAACACCACCATGCTAGCGAAAGTAACAAGCTGGCTAGTGTCTACTCAACACACCTAGTTCGTCCTTAGCCAAAATTTGGCTTTCACGTCAAGCCAAACTGTAGGATGGAACTCGACGTCAAAACTTGTCTCATGCCTTAGCCAAATTTTTGGCTTTTAATTATCAAGCCAACATGGCCGGATGGAACTCGCCGTCAAGGCTTGTCTCATGCCTTAGCCAAATTTGGGTTTTTCACGTGAAGCCAACATGGCGAGATGGAACTTGACGTCAAAACTTGTTCCATGCCTTAGCCAAATTTTGGCTTTTAATGGTCAAGCCACCTAATGCATTCAACGAGACACCAACTTCACTTGATCACCTACACCCTCATTGACATCTCGTACTTAGCCACATGGTTGAGAGAATAACTTGGAATTTTTCGCACCTATTTTGGCATAGATTGACTCATCTCACCTTGTCACAAGGCTAGACAGCTCCCTCGCGACAAGCCAAGCCGTCTACTTTTTGCCTTAGGAAAAATAATGTTCATTTTGATGTTGGTAGAGACATTATGGTCACCACTCCTCTACTACCACGTTTCAAGCCATCATGCCCCCCAGGCCGTGACTACTCGGGACAAGATAAGATAGCATGGCATGGCCTGATGTATGGCTCGTCATGCCAAACCATCATAATGACCTGGTG